TTGGTGGGTTATATTCTTTATTTACAAAATTTATTTCAGTGTGGCCCCAACTTTCTTTCAAGCAACTTGTACGAATTCCTTCTTACCACCGGGCTTCTCCCATCGCGTGTCTGCTAAATCGCGTTTTAAATAATCTATTTCAAGTTTTGTCTTTGTCCCATCTTTGTTTAACCGTCACGTATACTGTGCTGATGGACTATCATTCAATAGAATTGAAAGATTTATTAATTGTTAAACTTATTCACAATAGAATCCTGAGAGTTATTAATCAATAACAAAGGTGGGACACGCGATTTCAAGCGCTAAAACCATCCTCAATTTTAGTAATTTCTTACATGTCGTTTTGTAATTGGTTACTACTACCTTTACCACAAAAATGTTAGAAACAGCTCCACCATTTTGTAGAATTCACCTATTGTGAGTAGAACTTTTCATTTTTTGAAGTTAAAACTTTGACATGTTGTTGACAGCACAAAATTTTGTCTTGCCTATAGGGGAACGAAACGAGGCATGGATCTAACAACCGTTCATAGCTCAGTAGTTGTTCAAGAATCAAAATTTGCCAATAAGACAAAATTTCAAAATATTTAGACCCTGTTTAATAACTCAATACAACATTTAAATTTAATGGATTAAAATCTTAATATATTCAGACGTGTTTAATAATAAAAAAATTGAACATTTGAATTAATTAAGTGGCATTGAATTTTCTAGACAAAACTTACCTATAAAATAAGTGATGAACTATCCATATATCACTTAATGTGATATACACTCAAATGTATCAGATTTAATATTTAATAATTTAATGGATTCATAGTTCAAATTTCAATTTTCAGTTTTAAGACTTTAGTTTTATCAAACGCATCATTAGTTCACATAAGACTATACAAACCCTATATGAAGCGTAAACTCTTTCATCATTTATGGAATTCAATCAAAGAAATTAGGAGATAAACTCTTTCAGGTTCTAAATTATGGTACAATTTTCAGATCTTCCAGTGAGAATATAATTTTTTATTATGTTTCTTTTTTTCTTTAGAGTTTTTTTTTATCAATTTCCAAGATTTTGTTAAACATTAACATTTTGTTCACGTTTTGTTTTCATAAACAAATTGCATTCATATTATTCATTCTCTACAAATCGCTGAGTTTGCATTCTGGTTTGGAATACTGTTAGTTTTCAGTTGAGTTGAAACATCGCAATTCGACTCTTATATGTTAGGAGTCATCAGTTTGAATAGTATGTACGTGGTGCTGAATCTTGTGGCAGAAGTAAGCAAGCACAATACATTGTTTTATTTTAATAGCCTAAGCAAGTAAATAAACAAGTATATAAAACAATAAACTTTGCTACAAACTCAAATCAGTACAAGCAACAACCACCAAAGTCAATTACACAAATCAATCAATTTATTAGCAAGGCAAACAATTATAGAACAAACCACACCATTCAAACAACTCAAATGCAACACAAACCACAATACAAAAGAAGCAATTACAATAGTTTTTTGATTGACCTTATTCCAAATACTCCCTGCAAAGCTTCTTTGACAGTTGCTCCAAACCTATTCCAATAAACGAGAGCATTTAAATTATGCACACCAAATACAATCCTAATTAAACATTTGACATAGCAGTAATTTGAATCTAATATGAACTGGATTTTACTTTATTACAAATGTCAACCAAATTTGGAATGAAGATAAAGCAAATCAGATTATCCAAAAAAAGAGAGAGAGAGAGAGAGCCCATCTCAAATTGAACCACCAAGAATAACTGCATTAGGGAATCATTCTCAAATTGAGATGACAATGGCAATTCTGATAACCATTAAGGGGAATGCAAAAAGAAAATGAAAGAATTTGAAACATATGACATTCAGAGGGGTGAAGGTGAGAGATGCTCAAACATAAAGTTGTTTCTTACCCACGTTCTCCTCACTTTAAATGAGGTAAAAAAAATGCCAATAACTAATCTGTAGCTTGGTCTTGGTGGTGTTGGTGGTGTTTTATTGTCTCCTCACTTTAATTGTGCGGTAAGGTTTGGTTTAGGTTAGTGTGTTTTATGTTAACCAACGGTAATAACTAACACTGAACTAATACTAAGGATGGCAATGGGGCGGGGTTGCCTACAAATTCCCGCCGCCCCCACCCCACCCCGCTTCCCCCGCAGGTGCCCCCGTGGGACTAATAAAAATTTATTATATAAATTTATTATAGTTAAAATTTATCAAATAATCAAGTACTAAAATATCAACATCACCAAGTTATTATTCATTGTAATTTCACAATTGAAACTTATAAAAATAATCAAACAAAAGTTATTTGAATACAATCCAATATGATAAAATAAATACATCTAAAGTAGTCAAGTTTTTACTTTTGGCACAAATACAATCACTAATTCATTATTGTACTTGTGCTTTTTTTTTTTTTTATAGAAAAAAGTGTTATTGTATTGAGTGTAATTAGGAATTTAGTATAAATGTATTAGTAAATTTAGTATAACTAATTAATAATTTCTATTAGTAGATATATATAATTATTAGTATAATTGATAATATCAATTATATTACCTATACTAATATACATTATATAATACATATAACTAATAAAATCATTATCATAAGTTTGTAACTAATTAAATTAAATATTGTATATTATTATATACATATATATGTATATATTTTAAACGGGTGGCGGGGCGGCGGAAATGCCCCTTGCCCTGACCCTCGCCCCATTAGTCCTCCGCGGGACGGGTGCCCATGACTACCCGTCCTCATTGCCATCCTTAACTAATACCACTAATGAATGTGTTCTTACTAATACCACTAATGAATGTCTCATGAAGGACATTCAAGTAATTTCACCGACATATAAGCCAGTGGAAGCTGTACCCATTACACAAAAGAGAACCAAATGATCTCATGAAGGACATTCAAGTAATTTCACCGACATATAAGCTAGTGGAAGCTGTACCCATTACACAAAAGAGGACCAAATGATCTCATGTTCCCAATAAAAAATCCAAATTTCTAGCCAACGCACCACTTCATATGAAAAAAATACAAGGCCACTTTCGTAAATACATCAAAATTCATGCTACATTAAGTAATACCCAATAATAAAATTTCACTCCAAATAATCCTACATTTCTAAAATACCCCCATCCACGCAATTGAAATTCAAAATCACCTTTGACTAAAAAATACATATATAAATATATATATATATATACACACGCTCGCCCACAAGAGAAAAAATGGCCCAAATGCGAATTCGACCTAAGGTAAATAAGTCTTTTTAACAGATGGCATACGGATAATAACAGGCGGGAAACCATTGAACCAATGGAAGGAAAACCTACCTTGGCACGCAAGTTTAGGGTTACATATACAAATACTACTTAGAAGTGAAAGGAGCGTGGCGCTGGTAATCAATTAGTGTTTCAGCATCCAACAGATGAGATCTATGTCTAAGGCGAAGTCCTCCTACATGCGATACTTGGTCGGAAGATGGCCGGCCGGGTGTTCGAGAGCCGGTTCCCTTCTTCGTCGGCATTCCAACTACAACAGTTTCTACCGCTGTTTGGGAATTAGCAGCGGTGGTACTGTGTGTACAAGTAACGAATCACCTGCTACCATCTTCTTCGGTAGTGGTGGTGGTGGTGGTCTTGCTGATCAATTGTTACAAAAAACAAAAGTTTCTCCTTGGCTTCTAATCCCTCCTCCTGATGCTGCCGCCTCCGCCGGAAATATCGTCGGCAACAAGCAGAGAAGTTGTTTCTATGACTATTACTACAGCCTGGAAAAGAACAGAGTGAAAAGCATCAAGGCTGCCGAAAGTAGTTGTAGTGGCATGCAGAATTCAGAAGATGATGCTCTGTGCATTGGGTCATCTCACGGGTGGATAGCTTCGTGAACCAGCTCAATGATTCTGTTTTCCTTTTCAATCCCATAACACAGCGTAGGATCGAGCTTCCCTCCATCCGCACACTACCAGTTCATGATCCAATTTTCTGCACACTACCACTTCATGATACAAGTTTTTGCAAAACTATTGGGGCTATTGTTGCCTCGTCATCGCCAGAAGCGGTTGCAGAGGACTGCGGATTCATGGTCTCCTACTACTCCATGGAAGTAGGAGGATATAAGCTGGCCTTTTGCTGTCCCTCTCACGGTGAAAAAAGCTGGACTTGCCTCCAAAGTCTTCTAGTAGACTATGACTGCATAGTTTATTCCAGAAGGCACCGAATGTTTGTCACGGTCGATACAGATTTCAAGATGGAGTGTTGGGATCTTTCTAATCCTCTGTCCCCGAAAAGGACTCGCATTAAGAACCTGAAAGTGGATGTACATGTGGAGGTATATCCTTGCTATGATTCCTTAACAACTGAAGCTGAGAAAGAGGAATTCGCCCAAAAATTCGTGTCCCGCGATAGGATTTTCTTGGTCCCATATGCTGATCATGATTCCTCCTCCTCCTCGTCGTCGGGCCAGTTCTTTTGGGTAACGAAGTACACTGCGTACAGCGTCAACCAAGGTTTGTAAAATCGGGATCCCACGTCGGATCGATTTTAATTTTACAGAATCGGATCGTAGGATCGGATCGTAGGATCGTAAGATCCTACCAAAAACTCCTAAATTTACTAAATTAATGAATTTGAAATTCATATATCATTTTGTACATCCTAAAAGATATCAAATAAATAAGTTACTCATAAATATATAGTATTTTTTACTTACTATCTGACAAGTAATAAAGAAGAGAATATAAACCTGTTATCTGTCATGATTTCAAGTCTTAAAACCAAATGCTTCACAGTTTACACAATCATAATTCCAAATATAAAATAATCATCAACCTTCACAAATACCAAAAAGCCAAACATCCAAAAAGATTTTCAAAATCAAAATTAACTACTAGAATGTCATCTGTCATGTTTAAACAAACATGAAAAAATAAAAAATAAAATAGCAACAATTCATCATTTTCAAGTATCATAATAATTCAGAAATACATTAATTTATAACCAATCATTTTCATCGTTTGAATCAAATTCATTATTCCCATAATCCATATTATCAAAATCATTATTTTCCCAATCATCTTCACCATCCCAATTCTCTTGGAATTCATCTTCGGCATTATCTTTATCACCATCCAAATTAGTATCATCCAAATCATTAGTTCCCATTTGAAGATCAGTTTCGGGAACCATATCAAGATAATCATCATCTTGGCGGTCGAATTCAGTTGAAGGCCCATCATCCTCATCAATAACATGAATCTCTTTCATTTTCTTAACTTGTCTTCGACGGACATGGGTTTGACGATCTTCATGATTATCTAAATAAACAAACAATAATAATGAAAGTTACCAAAAACAAGAGAACTTGCAAAATAAAACTATAAAAACAAAAAAAGGATAAACTTTATACTTAAATTGGAAGAAAGAAAGAAACTTACAAACTCTCTGCACATTTCTTGTAAGTATTTCAATTTCATCATCTTCATTTCCCTCTTCATCTGAAGTGTCACATTTGGGATTGTCATCTAGAACTCGTAACCAGCTATTTTCTTTTGGAAGAGTTGGATTTTCTCTCTCTGTCACCCATTCATCATCTGAAGGCAAATTCTCAAAAGGAATTTCTTCAATAACACGTTGCCTTTGCCTTTGTCTCTCTCTCAACTTCAAGTTGTACATCACAAACACAAGATCATTCATTCTTTTTTGAGCCAAACGGTTTCTTCTCTTAGAATGTACCTATTGAAATTGAAAGAACTTATACAGTTATACTACGAACTTAAATTCAAATGCTAAACAAAATATTATACTAAATGAGATATTATATTATATGAAAACATTATTACCAATTCAAATGCGCTCCAATTTCGCTCACATCCAGAAGAACTACAAGTTAAACTGAGAATTCGAATGGCAAAATTTTTCAACTCTGGACACTCATCGCCATAAGATTCCCACCAATCAGCTGTAGGAAATTAAAATAAATAACAAATTAGTAAAGGTTTTAAAAATAAAAACACAAAGTTCAAATAGTAACTAACCAGGAGATTTCTTGTTTCTTGTTAGTACAGCATTTTCATGACCAAATAATCCATTTGCATGTCGAAAGTCATCTAATTGCAAATCAATCTTCACCCTTTCACCAGATTCGGGAACCATCTTAGCAATGCAATCATAAAGGCCACGTTTTATATTTGCATCCGACTGAAAATCTGGACTATATTGAAATTGAGGATTCAAATAATAACCCGCGGCATGTAAAGGATGACTCAATTGATCTTCCCATCTTTTATCAATGATAGCAAATGCCGATTCATATCTAGCATATAAACATGAGTTTGGTTAAAAAAATAACTAAAAAATTCATTCTACTATCCAACACAGAAATTATAAATGAACTCATAATTAATATGACAATTTATTTAAAATTTACCTCTTTCGAATATTGTTCACATTTTGTTTGATTTCTTCTTTTGCCTGATCAATAGCTTTATAGAGAAAGCCCATGGCTGGTTTTTCATCAGAATCAACCATCCTCAATACTTTGATAAGAGGCGAAGCTATCTTTAAACATAACTCCACATTTGGCCAAAATTGTTGATTATCAAAAATGATGCTCTCAATTTTTTTCCCCTTGTTTCTCCTAGCATACGTGCTTGTTTTCCACTTATCCGAACAGAAAAAGTTAAACAAATTCCCTTTCAGCTCGTTAAGACGTCTCATGGTCAAGTATGAAGTAGCAAAACGAGTAACTCCAGGTCTAATCAACTCCTTGCCATTAGTGAACTGTTTCATCCAATTAATAACTGTACCCCATGAATAAATATATGTAACCACTGATTTCGCTTTTTGTATAGTAACTTTGTGGAGAGAATCAAACTTTTGAAAATCTTCTAACATTAGATCAATACAATGAGCAACACAAGGGGTCCAAAACAATCTTTTTCTCTTTTCCATCAATATTTTTCCAGCTGCCTTATAATTAGAAGCATTATCGGTGATGACCTGCACAACATTATCCTCTCCAATTTTTTCCACAATACCATCTAACAATTCAAATAATTTTTGAGCTGTTTTTGAAATATCAGTGGTATCTACCGAAGATAAGAACACAGTACCAGCTGGACTATTCACAAGAAAATTGTTCATTGTTCTCTTTCTCTGATCAGACCATCCATCGGACATAATAGTACAACCAGTTTTTTTCCACTCTGTTTTGTACATATTCAGCAAATTCAATGTCTCTTGCACCTCTTTTTTCAAAAAGGTCACCCTCATTTCATGGTATGAAGGTGGTTTAAGTCCTTTTCCATATTCTCCCAATTTCCTAATCATTAAAGGAAACAATGGGTTATTTACAGCATTAAATGGAATGGCACTTGTATAGAACCACCTAGCCATTATTTGACAAACTTCATCTCTATCTTGTTTCTTCCATTTCTCATTTATGGTTGTTTGTCTCACATTCAACCCCCCAGATTTCCTCACAACAAAGTTGTCCATAGAACATTTTTTAGCCTGCTGCTTAACTTCACTTTCTTCTTCTTCTAAATCATACATAGTACTAACCCTTTGTTTTTTTTTCCTTGATTCCTCAGAACTTGCACTTAGTAAATCAAACATTTGGGTTCTAACATCTTCAGGAACGCTGGGACATGGTTCAACATTTGTATGTGTACAAGCTAAATGATGCTTAAGCCTATACACACCACCAGCTCGAGTAATCCCACAGTATTTACACTGAACTTGTTTTTTATTAGCATCAATTTCAATTCCATGATCCCACCCGGGATCCAATCGAGCACCCGATTTTCTACTTTGTTTCTTTGAAGCGGATGAAGACATTTAAGCACTGCCAAATATATTAGAATATTCATAAGAAACCAAGAAATTCAGACCAGACCAGCACTTGATAAAAGAAAATAAAGCTAGCATTCAGAAAATAAGCCAGACCAGACCAGCACAAGAAATTCTCATTAGAGATTTTTGGCTTGCAACTGTAATTTCTTTTACTTTTTTTTCCCTATTTAGATATGGTTTTTTTTTTAATTTGAACGAAAAGACAAACAAAATAGTAGAATGATTAAGATTTAAACAGGTCAGTAAAGTGGAATGGGCTGCACAAGTAGGAAAATTTAAATGTTGGGTGGTGGCTTAGTGATATAACAACATAGGCTGGTCCAACGCCATGTTAAGATTCATGAACTTGGGCTCCCATTCCATTGTCAAATCTAATATTTCTTGTGAAGATTTCTGCACGCTAGCCACAAGCTCTAGCAGAAAATCTGTAGTGAATTTTAATCTTGTCTTGAAAGCAAATATGATTTAAGTCGTGGCAGAGTAGAGTAAATTTGAAGCCACAGATGAGGCACTAACTGCACCAACAATCTTTAACCAAAAGCTAAGTACAGAACAGAGAGGAAAACTAAAGACCATTCAAGTTTCTAGAGAGATTAATTACTAACTAATCATGATGTTATATTAAATAATTTTATGAGTTCTCATTAATGGACCCGTCAATAATTCCCTTCAACTTCAACTCAATTCAATCAAAAGCAATATATGTTCAAATACCAAGAAAACCAAATACAAATCACAACTTTATCAATCACCATCTCCCCAAGTATCAATTTTCAAGCAAGAAAATAACCACACTCACATACGATCTTAATTGAAGTACTGGTGCTTGAGCTTCAGTGTGGTGGCAGGCTGGCAGCACGAAAATTGGAGAAGAACGGGTGCTGGAGCTTCAAGCTTTGAAGCTTGAAACGGCCAAAATACGGCAGCAACAGAGGATTTCGTAGCTTGATATTCTAACCGAAGCAATGGCTGCTGGAGCTTGAAGCATTGAAGCTGTCGGCTGTAGGCTGTAGCTTGTGGGTTCTTGCCTTCTTGGTAGAAGCCGCAGGCCCGCAGCAATTTGTTAGCCGAAGCCCGAAGCTTGAGATGGTTTGATGGTTTAAATTAGGGATTTGATTTGGGCAGCGGAGAGGAGAAGACAAAGGTCTGCTTGAGGAGAACTCGGGAAGATGAAGAAGACCGAAGCTTTTTGACGGAACCTTTTGACTTTAAGGCAAAATTTGTTAAAACATTGCAACTAAGGCCTGCAATTTCTTGATAAACTACAAGCCTACCCCAAATGTTGATTTTTACTTGCAAAGCCGCCAAAACGAACCTTGTATTTCACAAATCAGCCCTTTTTTGTAGGATCGACGTAGGATCGTAGGATCGTACGATCCTATGCGATCCTACGATCCTATCGCGATCCTATACAGATTCAAGCAATTTGCGATTCTATATGCGATCCGAATCGATTTTGCATTTCCGGATCGTAGGATCGTACGATCCTACGATCCGGATCGCGATTTTAATAACTATGGCGTCAACCAGGAGGACAGTTCTTTTGTTGATCTACTAGATGAGCGTTATGGGACTCTTCCATACAAGACTTGGACTTTTGACGTTCATAAATTTGATCTCACTGATAAAGTGTTGAGGTACATGGGCAACTCTTTGGAGGATCACGCCATTTTTATTGGCATGAATGATAGTTTCTCGCTCTCTGCAAAGGATTTCCCTGAAGTGAGGCCCAATTCCATTTACTTCACTGATGATTACTATCTCTCACCTGAAAATAAGTCTTGGGGAGGTCACGATGTTGGGATCTATCACTACAAAGACAAGACCTTCGAGGACTGCTATTTCCCGTGTGATTACAAAAACATTAGGAGGATCGAACCCTATCCAATTTGGTTTATTCCTAATCCACTCTAGGCTGCCTCTTCCTCTCCCGCCAATGTCTTCAGTAGGTTTCTTTTGCTATATGGTACTTGCGTGTCTTGTCCGTTAAGTTTTATGCTCAGAAATTTCTTATGTGTGCTAGGTGTAACTGTGAAATTGTTGCCTCCGATAATGGTGGTTTACCTTTTTCAGTTAACAAAACTTCTTATGGAGTCACGTACCTTCTGGTTTTGGTTTTTAACATGGCAGTCAGTAATGTATGTCGTTAAGCATATGCCTTGAACTTTGCTTAATGCTACTTACTTATGGTTTGTACATTGCAGTCATTTAATCGCGGCTGTTTGACAACTCTATACATACATATCAATTAGAAGGAGGAACAAAGATTGAAAATTTTGAAAAGTGATGAAGAAACAAAGATATCAACATGAGGAGGATGTAGATTTTGAAAATATAAGAAGAACAAAGATTGAAAATATTGAAAGGTGATGAAAAAACAAAGATATCAAGATAAGGAGGATGTAGATCAAGATCTTTTCAGATAAAGACCATGCTTGTGTCTTCGTTTTTGTCAAGAGACTAAATATAGCCTTGTTAGCATTAATAATTAGAAGGATTTTTTTTTTATATCAAGAATCGATGATAGAAGTGTTGGAAAAACTTTTTTTAACTTCTACAAAGTTCTGCATTTGGATGATTTTTATTGGATTTGGTTTTGTTAATATGTAATCACGGGTTGGTGGTGGTTGAGATTCTTTTAAGTATAATGTAATACTTTAGTTTTATTTTTCCTGAATAATCAGAAGAATCCAAAGAATGAAATTTCTTTCTTGCTCGTATCTTTTTTTTTCATTTTCTTTTTCTATTTTGGGAGAACAATGGCGATTAGATAAGGGTGTTTATCGCCCGTAATTAATTATTCAGTAAAAAAAATAAAGTCAATTTTTTTTTTCATCAAGGTCACATCTAATTAAGAATTGGCACTCAATCAATTCCTTCACCGTACATCTGAAGAAGTAATCCAAAAAAAAAAAAATAACCAACATCAAAAAATCACAATTTATAGATAATGAAGGAACCCGAAAGGTAAGAATTAGAAGTGACAAAATGGATTCATATCCACCAATCCATCCATATAAACCAACTTTAAATGGATTTGGATGATCCATATAAATTCAATGGTTTTAAATGGATAACCATTTAAATCCAATTAACATAATTGGATTTAAATGGATTATCCATATAATCCATATACATCCATTTAACTTAAAAAACAGTCAACATAGATAGGATTGACTAGGAGCTAATTAGTGCTTACAAATCTTTTTGGATGGATTTTCTTATTTCTGTTTTCATTAGTTGAGTGAATCAGAGCTTAACCGTAACGCTCATGCTGTCTATTAACTGGACACGTGACACTTGTACGTGTAACAAGCATTAGTGGGCCCAGTTACCACTCTTAACCTTTTCTAACAGAAGTTAGACATTCGATTTTTATAAATCTAACTTCCAGAAGAAATCTCAAAAGCCGGCAACTCTTGAGGTCCTCTTGAGGACTTATAAACCCAAACCTAACCCCCCCGGAACCGATGTGGGATGGCGACCCCACAAGGGCCTAGTTACCAAAGAGACCCATTATTTGGGTAAGAGCTGTGTTAAGGTGAAATAGGATGGGATTATACAATGTTGCACCTTCCAATCAGATGATATTTCTTCTTGGGGAGATCCAATCAGGTGACTTAGCGACATGTGATGCAACATACGGCCGTTGATGGGTTTTGGTGGGTCCAGTTAAAATATTTTTTTATTTCTTTTATTTATAAAAAGAATTTTTCTAACGAGTACCCCGCAATATTGGTTAAGAAACGTAAATGACACCTTCTTCTTTTTTTTAATAAGTTGAAGGTTTTGAATTCAAATTCTCATACTTACAATCCCTCTCCCCTTATCACCCAACCCAACTATCCAAAAAAAAGGACACCTAATTTACTAAGTAATATTATGTAACTTGTATATCAATAGTATAATAAGGAGTTTCATGCATTTTTAAGTACTATGTGCACATATGATAAAAATATTTTACTTGTTAAATAACATAAGATTTCTTATTAGAACTCCACTTTTATTCAAGGCATCCCTCTTGAACAGGAGTGTAAAAAATTGGAAACGTAAACTTTTTTCCACTGTAAAGCCGTATTCAATTCACCCAAAAGTTATAAAAATGTAGCGAAATTCCTAATTGTTCATTACTTTACAAAATGATACTTAAAGTAATGATGAAAGGTTTGAACTGACCACAGCAGTTAAATTTTCTTGGAACTAAACTAATTTTATGAAGAACTAAAATAGAGTATAGTACAAGCATTTGTTATTACTAAAAGGTTTTAGGTGATTTAAGGATAGAACTTTGGGGATCTGTATTTTTTGAAAAAAAAAATATTTGGATCTTAAATTTAGGATTTGGGAGAGTAAATGAATAAATGGATGGATGGATCACATTTTTCGTAGAATTTGATTAAACTCATGTAGCAGAGGCATTAAACATGGCGACAGGGGAAGAAACCTCGTTAATTGCATAAATAGTGCTGGGGTCCAGACCCATTCGGATGAGATCCTCAGCATTTTGGAGGAGCTCTCTGGCAAAAGAGACGCACAACTTAGCACCGACATCAAATTCCTCTTGTTGGGCCCTGCCAGCAAGAACCAAGATCTTAGCATTGCCAATGGTGGCAGCAAAAAGCTTGTCGAGATGGTTGATAACCATCTTATCCATACCTTAGGGGAAGGGGATGGGGGATGGCGAGAGAGAAATCGAAACGGATTATGCACAGATCCCAATGAAATATACAAATGTGAAAATAACAAAATATTTACCTTTAAAGTAAAATCCACCATTCCCTTCTTCTTCTTCTTCTTTCTCTTCTTCTTCAACTTCCGAAAAACGCTTCTCCTCTCTTTCTCTAGGCTCTCCCTTCTCCTCCTCTTCTTCTTCTTCCTCTTTGTCTTCCCCTCTAACTCTGTCCGTTGGACCGTCATATTTTTTCCGTCTGTTGCTTGCAGCATATTTCCGATAGTGCTTCCAATCTCTAAAGCCCTTTACCGGGCAGTCACTCATCTTGTGTTCGGACAGTGATTGAGCTGAGCGAAAGCGGCTCCCACATGTGCAACGAATCAAATGCTTCTCTGCAATATTGTGCTTAAGCTTATAATGATCATCCAGTTGCTTGGGAGTTTTAAAAGATTTCCCGCATCCGTCTTCTCTGCAGCGGCATTGTTTAGTTAAAAATCGGAGCTCCTTTCGCTTCAAATAATCAGTTAGCCGTTTGGATTTCCATCGGAATTGGATGGAACGGGGAAGGAGTAAAGCGGGGTGAGGAGTTGGGGAGGACGAAAAGAGGGAGTTTAATGGGGTGATGGTGGTGGATGGTAGTGGTGGAAGGCGGTGAAAGGCGGTAGAGTTAGGAGTCGGGAATGGAAGGTGCACGGCAAAAATTCTTCTCAACAAGCTGCGTGACATGGTGTCTTTCCAGAATGATACAGGAATGGATTTGATTTCACTCGCTCTTTTATTCTGGATTTGATTTCCAAAATGAACATGATTTCGGTCGCAGTGTGGGTGCATGAAGCCATCCGTTTCCACTAAATGTACTGTCAGTAAGATTTGTGCGTGGGATGGATGATAAGGAGAAGTAGCCTCCTCCTTCCTTTTCACTTGTACTTTGAACCAAACGAAAGTTATTATGGACTATTACTTAATGATGCAGGTCCAGAACATTTCGTTTCGTCCTCCTCAAGCTATATCTCTCTCCCTATTCTTCCCAATTCAGTCCCTATATCTCTCTCCCAATTCAGCAGCGCTACCTTTTCAATGATTCATCAAACAAGTAATAATACCATACGAAGTAGCATGAGTTTGTATGCTTCTAACATATTGATGAATCTGAGACTTGATAAAAGAAGAGAATATGAAACAACATGAATGTTGCATTTGTTTTTTGACCAACAAAATATATTTCTTTTATTTTTTCTTGTAAAACTAAGAGATTAATGCATGCTTTCATGTTCTTACATTACTCCAAAATTTGAATAGGAGCGTTGAACCATCAATGTTTGAGGGAGAGGCTTTAGCTTTGAATGCTATGTATGAAACTAGAGCAGTCCGTGTGCCTAAACCATTTAAGGTGAGGTTATAAATCGTATTTTAATGGCTTCTTCTCAATTACTTACTATCTGCCCTTTACTTCAGTGCTAGGTTATTTGACATGACAAACTTGATAAAATTTCCTAGCATATGTTTTCTAATGGTGATGTG